TGCTTTAACTTGACAGTTCAGAATCTTTAAAATGATCCTTTTCTCATGGTTTTTGTGTCCAGTGTCCAGTGCTTAAACCACTACAGCACACTGTGTCCTTAAAATAATGATGTTGATGTTATTATTTGGTTACTAAACAGCAGAAACAATCATGTTTTAAAGCACACTTAATTTCTTTCTTTTTCTTTTTTAAACAAAAATATATTGATTAATGAAAAAAAAATTCTTTACTTAATCTGTTGGATATGTTGCAGGAAATCTGACATGTTTTATTGACATGAAGTTTGAATGAACTCTGCATTCTTTCCCTTTGAAGCATGAAGCTTCATGGACTGTGTCCGGCTTTCTCTGAATCCTGGTTTTGATTTGGGTCATGTTTTATGTGAAAGAAAGTATACCGTATGTCTGTTTTCCCAGAATGTAGTACTTGATGAATACAGATGGAGGATCTCACTGGTCTTCTGCTTTACGTAAAGACCCAACACCATACGTTATGGAAGCAGGTTCTTTCCCTCTATGTAAGTGTCATTCCTGTTCATGGCCATAGCCTCATGTACATTATGGAAGTATTTTTGTGTCACTTTTGCGCTTTGACATTTCTCTTGTGGAGACTGCTGATCTATTATTTATGTCACTACAGTGTTAGTTCCTCTAATCCTTGATCCTGATTTGTTATCTGGCTGGAAAAATTATAGATTTGCCAAAATAGCATTGCTCTTTATATTGTTAACAGTTTGTTTCATCCTTTCGTGGGGCAACTTCATGTGTTGATGTAGATGCCTTAAATAAACTGGACCACATTAACTTAATACAATGGATATGTCTTCTGATTTGACTTTAATTTCACAGTTTGTTTAGCAAATTGTTAACTAAAACTAATAAAAATGATTTTCGTTGAGTGAGGTAAAGCTAAAATAAAATATTAAAATATATGTTATACTGTATATTATATATAATAGTGCATTATATTATATATAAATGATAATAAAACAAACTAAAATGAGAAGAATTGTTGTCTTGGCAGCTTACTGAAAATGTTACTTAAACTGAAAAAAAAAACAAAAAGCAAAATAGAAATACCTATAAATATGAATAAAAATGACAAAATATAAAGAAAAAGTAATCAACATTCCTTAGCCTGATGAAGACCTAATCGGTCAAAACGTTAATAAATACTATAATAGTATATGAATAATGCTAAAAGCAACACTGGTTTAGCACACTGTGGACCTGATCTTACAAGGTAATTTGCATAATGACACATTTAACACACTGATTGCAATTTTAATCTATTATGACTGCACTTTTTCCACATCAAAGAGTTACCAAACGTTTGACTCCAAAAAGCTGTTTTAAGTAAACTAATACAACTAATGATGTTGTATCTTGTGAAATTTGTTTTCATTTCCATTTCTGGATATGGATGGATAAGGCATTTAAGTCAGCATGAAATAGAAATATACCTTATTTTCTACATGCATTTTATTGATCTTATTGTGAAAGATTCAATGGTTCATCCACACATGCCTATTCATTCATCATATTTTTGTTACATTGCGACTTTAAATCTAGTTTAGTAAGTTTAAAATCAAACTCACAAATCCATGTAGAAATTCTGTATCCATAAGAGATGTTTGTGTCAATAAGAATGCAGTTATTTATTGTGTCTCATGTGAGGACGGACTGTTGAAATTTTATCTTAGAAGACTAGACCAAAACCTTTTCAAAAGTGCATAAAAATTCCTTTAAGTTCACAGTTTGTTCTTAAAGCGGTTTGTGCTGGCAACCAATTATGTAGAATCAAAATGTAATAAGTTAACTTTTGCCATGATAAACCAAAATTGGAAATAACTAGCAAAACCCTGTCTGGCACCTAAAATAAAACACATCAGTAAACAACTCTGGGCTCTATCAGAACGAGGTAGAATATCTCATTTCACAGATGGTTCTCTCCACGCAGAGACTAAATATTAAGCACATATTTCAGAAAGTTGAGCATCTGCCATCATAGAGAGCATCTTTTTGTTGGAAAGTTCCAAAATGTGTTCATGTACCCTCATCTCAATATCATCAGTACCAAAGTAATATAATCTATATTAAAACTACTAAATAGTTAATAATATGCAAGTGTATTATTTCACTAGGACTGCCATAATACAACAACAGATACAGTAAGGCACACAATTTTATGAAAGTGTACACAGCAAGTGGGCAAACCCACACTGTGAAATCTTATCTAAATTATACTATTATTTTTTATTATTATTATTATTTTGTGCAGAACAGCCCTACAGGTGCACTGCTGAATTATAGGTGTGTGCTGTTCTCGTGTCTCCCTTATAGAACAATTAAGTTACTCAATATCATCAGTACCAAAGTAATATAATCTATATTAAAACTACTAAATAGTTAATAATATGCAAGTGTATTATTTCACTAGGACTGCCATAATACAACAACAGATACAATAAGGCACACGATTTTATGAAAGTGTACACAGCAAGTGGGCAAACCCACACTGTGAAATCTTATCTAAATTATACTATTATTTTTTATTATTATTATTATTTTGTGCAGAACAGCCCTACAGGTGCACTGCTGAATTATAGGTGTGTGCTGTTCTCGTGTCTCCCTTATAGAACAATTAAGTTGATCCCTTTACAAAAGTAAGCTTAATGGTAGTCTAATTTCACATCTAAATATTTGTTAGGAAAGTTTCCTTTTGGGTGTTACTCTAAAGAATGTTCCTGAATCATGGCTTGATTTTAAGGCTGGGCCTCAAAACTGACAATATGCCTAAAAGAGAGGAAACAAGCCCACAGAAGCCAACCACCCCTGCATTTGTCTGGTAAATGCCCAGTTTGTCAAGTGGAATGAAAAGGTCGCAAACATTTTTAAGTGTATCGAGAGCCACAGATGGTTCCTTTCTGAGGCTCTCGAGGAGAAGGAAGAGGAACGCATCAAGCTGAGGCACTATGACAAAAGCCACATCCGGGCTTTCATTGAGGTGCTGATTGACTTTTTGCTGGTAGTGTCGGTCCTGAGACTTCTGCACCATAAGCTGGACGATCACATAGACGTCTCTGGTGAGATTCATGACCAAGGACAGCAAATAGAAGCGAGTGGAGTTCAAGCTCCAGCGCTCCTTGCCGATATCTCGTATTAGCCCGATACTTCTGCCCCAGAGTATGTTATCACAGATGAAGTACAAAGCACGGTTGAGGTTGGCAAAAGTAAGGCAAAAGCGCAGCACGGGGTCAGAAATATGAAGAGTGCTCTTGGCCGCATAAATCGAGTTGACTGTGTTCCCAAGCCTGAATACTGTAAAAAAAGAGCAAAACTCATTACTGATGATATTCTTTTACTTTCTGTGAAAATAGAGGCTGGGTGCTGCCTTATTTCCATAAAACGAATTAGCATCTATTTTTATGTTACTAGTACTTTTCATGCAAGTAGGGGGTGTAGTATAAGGTACTGAGAAATTATACTTAAGTACAGACACAATGGAATGGCATGTTTGGAGTAATGCAGTAAACAGTATTATTATTTCCTTGTAAATGTACCGGAGTAAAAATACAAGTATTCGATTTTAGCAGAACTTAAGTAAAACAAGTGAAGCACTAATATAGGGGCAAGGCAACACTAGACTAGAGTCCAAATATAATGTCAATAATTAGAGAATAAGGTTACTACACTGATTGAACTGTAAAAGATAGTAACATTTCTTATCTCTCTAACTATCTGAGATAAACTCATAGTACTAGTAAAGCTGGAACAGTAACTCAGTCATTCTTGAGAAGTGGGACAAAACAGGGTGCAAAATAGAAAAAATTAAACCTCAGACAAATGAAACTACATTTATGTATCTTATATGTACTAAGCTACTGCGCAACTTTAAAATCGTATTAAACATGCATGTGTCATTAAAAAACAACCTTGCTTTGATAGGAGATATTATTAAGTGTTGCTTTTGATAAAACAAGCTCTTTTTCATCATTAAACATTTTTTTTTAATCCATTTTATTGCATATGAATGATTGAACCCTTCTCTGTGGACACACTGTTTTAGATGTAGTGAGAGGACATTAAAGGGGTCCTATATTATGCTCTTTTACAAAGTCTTGATTTTGTTTTGGGGGTGTACTAGAACAGGGGTTTTCAACCTGTGGGGCGCCAGCATCAGTTAATTCAGAGACGTTCCCGTGAGAATTTATGAATATGAGTAAACAAATCTTTAGCCATACACTAGAGGGCAATCTGACTCCCACTGCTAGTCGACGGTTAGAGCAGAGTTGGCGCGAGTATCTTATAAATGCATCAGATGTTAATTACAAAGTGTGTAATACCTGCTTTGAGTTAACAATTTGAAATGTAAATTAATTTACACTTAAAATATAAATGAAAAATCTATTTCAGTCTTTAAACAACTGAAAAAGTGGAGTACCTTAAGTCTTAGTTTCTTGAATATACTGTATATACTAATTTTTGCAATAACACATAATACAACATCATAAAAAAAGACCCCCTTTTCCATCAGTTGCTGCATGGACAGAAAGGATGTAGGCTTCAACTCCTGAGAGAGATAAAGAGAGAGAGAGAGAGAGAGAGAGAGGGAGAATTAAATAAGAAAAATTAGCTTTAACATGTTTAAGTGTTAGCAGATATTTAGCATACAGTCTACTAATACTCTAATGCCTGCTAGTTGACATGTAGTCGCAGAGTTACTTATCAACAGTTATCTAAAGGCTACCATCAAAATAATCAAATTGATATTACAATAAAAATAGTTCAAAGCAAATGTGTACACATTCATCTGATCTGATATCAGATCTTATGGCTGTTTGAGAAAAAATAATATTATTATTATTATTATTTATAAGTTGTCTTTGTCTGCTTTAAGTACAATGAAGTTACTTCACTTAAAGCAGACAAAGACCACTTAATAACAATAAGACCACATTAAAGCATTTTGGAATGTTTTCATGAAGACTTTGTATTTGTT